GAATAATTTAATTAATGTTAATTTAATTTTCAAAACTTTTTAATAGAAATAATACTTTTAATATACATTTTAATCGTTTAAATACGTTAAGAAACTGTTTATTAGTAAGATTACTTAAAGGTATATAATTCAGTAATCTCATTTTACGAAAACACTCTTTAAACGTTCTCAAAAATTTTTTAAATTTAATAAGATTGCCATAAATATGATTCGCTCAGAAATAAATAAATAAATATATATATATATATATATATATATATATATATATATATATATATTATATATATTTATTTATTTATTTCTGAGCAAATCATATTTATGGCGATTTTGCAAAAATAATTATCAATATTTAAACGTATATTTAGGCGTCTTATAATATTTGATACTAAACGTAATTCTGATTATTGTTAATCTTTCTCTTACTAGAAGATATATTAAAGAATGCAATATAAAAAAAAAGAGAATAATTTTAATTTTAACGCATGAGGTTGAATTTAAAAATATATTTTGTTATTTTTTAACATTCTATATATATATATATTATAATGCCTTTTGAAATACACCTTCATCATACTTCTCGGAAATGGCATTCTTTGCATTTATATGCACATACATGTCATAAAGAAGTCCGTAAACGAGAGATCATAAAAATATTTTCTTATTTATCCACGTAGAGATGCCTTTGTTAAACGGTGCACGCGTTGAGCAAACGAGACAAGAATTAAAACGACGCATTCACATACGTGTACATGCATCTATATATTATCTTCCCTCTTGTTTCTCACTCTCTCTTTCTCTATTTCTTTTGCCATATGATTGAAAAATATTAAGTCGCTTGAATAGCAGCAAAGCCATCTCCGCGTGGGTGCGAATCAAAAGAACCCTGATAAAAAGTGTAATTCACATATACGACAAACATATAACGATAACGATGACGCGAGTACGTTTAACCATCCCGATCACGTGAACATAACAACGTGCGGTTGCTTAATTTCACATACAAAACAGACAATTGCTTCTAATCATTGATGGAAAGCTATTATACCTGTACTTTAGTTGCGAATTGTTATATATGTGGCTGACAAAAAGAGAAAGAATTCCATATCAAGCATCACAAACCCGTCATAATTGTAATAATAAAAATAGCCTTATTATATGTCACACAATGGATATAATTCAGCCGAGAATTTTAGGTAATGTGTATATTTGAATCTCTCTCTTTCTCTCATTACTTTTTTAAGAAAAGATATTTTATCTTTTATATTATAATTTGCAGTTATGTTATACATATAATATATTGTTTTAAAAATATATGTATAATATATATATATATATATATATATATATATATATAATAAATATATAATATAAAATTATATATATATATATATATAATAAATATATAAATATAAATTATATATATATATATATATAATATTCAAAATATATAAAAATGCTGTTTGATCATTATATAATTCAAGTAAACAGCTGTTTTGTGCTTGAAATAGTCGTGATCAACGATATTGATAATCGTGATGATTAACGCGTTATAATTACTGTGACGTCCATTGAAGAGATTTTCATGGTACGATGATCTTTGCGTCAATTAATTGTTTTAATGTAATAATAATTGTCACTATCTGATTGGAGGATTGTAGTATTAATTATCATGGCAGCGCCATTGTGATATAACTGTCGTAACAGTCTCACAATCAGTGACAATTTTCGTAGTTCGCAAATTTAATAACTACAGTATAATACATGTTTAAAGTATACGTCGAGAGGTAATAATAAATAATGCGACGTCGCGTAATAAATAATTATTGAAGCAACTGAAATATGATAAATACAAAGTGGAATTGTTGAAACAGGCAATAATAACAATTTCCCTTATAATATTGCGGTACGACTGCGTTATGCTTCACAAATAAATCTGGACGCAATTGTTGTTTTCGCAATATCAAATGAAAGCGTTATTATTATTTTTTGAAAGGTACGGAAATAAATAATATAAATAATAAAAAAAGTGAAACCAAAGTATACGATAAATGCACGCACATACACACATTCGTGGTAAGAATATGTACTCTTTAGATTGTTTTAAATATTCAAATAAATCTGCAGCAATTACACACATGTGTTCACAAATGAAAATGTAAAATTAGTGAATCATTTAAAGAAGAGCATTTCTAATTTTGTTCTAATTAGAAATTAATTATAATAATATTCTTTTAATTTAATATCCTCAATCTTTTTCTTGACTTAATTTTTATATCTTATATTGCTTTAGGTTTTTATTTGTATAACTACAGTCCTATTTAAAACCAAAATCAAAATACTTTTTATGTCCGAGCGAGAAATAAAAAGAAAATGGATAAAAAAGAGGACGAAAGGGATAATCTTTTATTGCTACGATACATACGCAAGAATAATGGTCGGATTTATGTTTGTAAATACAGACTGTGTATCATTTCGCGGAATATAGGACATACGAGAAATCGGAAAATGAACATCCCGATGGACGTTAGGAATATTCAGCTGCGGTTTGCAATCGATATATGATGGTTGTTGCTTGCAGTTGGGAACAACCAGCAAATCTTTCAGAATCGTAAAAAATTGAATGCACCGCGTGCATAATGCGACCGTAAAATGAGAAGCATAAAGCTCAGACGAGTCCGCAAGGAAAACTTCTGTCTGTTATTCATGCTGATTATCCTGATTCCATTACAGTTAGTCGTGAAACAAACAAGGATATAAAGCAAAATTCATATTCTTCAATCTTGCTCAAAATTGAGTTGGAAAAGAACATGCTCTTACTTTGCGTTTTTCTGTGCGCGTCATTTTCTTTACGGATTTTCTACTTTATTTATATATTACAAAACTAACACTTGGCATGGTGATTATTTTAATTAAATTGAAATAAAACTTAAAAAAATTCAAAGCTTCTAAAACGCAGTTTAGATATTTTATTAAAAAAATTCTTTCTAAATTAATTTTCTTATATAATAAAAAAAAAAAATAAATAAAAAATAAATTTTCCTATATAATAAAAGTAGAAAAAAAACGAGTTTTGCATATATTTTGAAATATTCTAGTTTATTTAATTAAGATTAAACCAACACGCAAATTTTTATTTTTAAACCATATGACGTGCATTTAAAATGGCATTGTTGCAATTTATGTGCGTTATACAATATTTAATTTATATTTCCATATGCATGTGTATTATTATTATATATTTATTTACTTGTTGTTGCTTGCATATCTGTTTGTATTGATTGAATGCATTTTTATTTAATTTATTTTTATGCTTTTTATGGAACATATGCCTATATTATGAAATGGTTACTTTAACGTTGCATGAAAAACATTTAATGAAAGATGTTTGATTAAAAGTTGAGAAATATTCGAGAAAATCTCGCTGGCACGTGTTAAAAAGCCCTCATACATACTAATGCAATTTTTAATATCGAGCTTTTTATTCAGTCTCGTTCATTCAGGATTCTAATTAACGTTAACAAGTCGAGTCAAATATGAATACTTCGCATCACAGGCATTCCATATTAGAGACGTTGGGTTGCATTTATAATGGTGATGTAGAATTTCGATGCTTTCGCAAATCAATAAAATCAAACTTTGAATGCACGTAAAATGCAATTAAATATGTATTTACAGATCCGTAAATTGATGTCTAAAGCAAATAAGCAAAGTAGAGCTTAAATCTTGCAAGAATTTTTTAAGAATGCTATTTTTTATATTTTATGTTAGTGTGTGTGTGTTATCAGCTATATTTAGTTAATATAACACTTGAAAAAATTTGTAATGACTAAACACGTTTTATATTTACTGTTTCTTTTGCGAAAGTAGTATATACATCTTACGTTATACTCAATTCACAATTGCGAGAATTTCTGATGAAAATAATGCCGAAATTATAATTATTGATGCACACAATTCTATTATGCGATAAATTATATTTTCACTTATGGAGATAATGCAGGCTGGCTAGTTATATTTGTGGTTTAGACAGCTTTTCATGGGGACGTTTCGTCGACAGGACTCCGCAATTTAACACAATCACCGATTTTATTGGCTTTCCGGTCTTCGTACCAAATTCCTCAATCTATTTAATCATGGTAGATATCAACAGTTTACCACTACTATGCGGTTGAATTTAAACGCGCGGACGATAATTAAATCTTTTGTAAAACGATACCGCGTGATACAAAGTTTTTATTCGGAAGAAAAATAAGAGGAAAGAAATATATTCTATTTGAAATATTTCTAGAATAATTTGTCAACTATTGCGTTGTAAAATATGACAATATTATACTTGTGCTATATACAGAAGATAAAAAATGAAATATAAAATAATTTTATTACATATATGTATATGCATATGTATATATATGTACATATGTGTGTGTGTGTATGTATTGATTTTTTAAAACGTTCACAAAGTTAAAATAAAACTTGAGATTTATCATTATAAAATAATTAATTTTTTATATAATTAAATGAGCGATAAATCTAATTTAATAAATTAGGTATATAATAACTATAAAAAATCTAAACTACGATTAATATTTGTACGTGATAATTTACAAGCTACTCGTTAGATGGCGACATGTATTCTGTTGATGCAAATCGATCGAATTAAATATATTTTTCAATTTAACGTGCATATTACAGATGAAATAATAAATTAAATTTTCATAAACTGGACAGATAATAAAGTATAAAAAGGAAAATAAAGTATTGTATGTGAAAGAAAATAAGACGTTTAATTATAAAATGTAATTAAATTTTTTTTTTAACGCGCAAAAAATACTGTTTGCTTCTAAAACACGACAGTTTTACTTGTATAATACGATTAAACGAAGTTTCTTTACGATTTTGTCAGGCAACTCGAGCTGTATACTTAAAGCTTAACAATACTGACGATATACGACATTGCATTACTGCACCAGTAACATTGCACATTTGAGCAAAGTTCTGGATTACCAACAAGAAATGTCCAACATTACCTTGTAAATGTTTCTCATTCCGCCTATTACTCGACCAAAAACGACCCTGTCTCCATCCACGGTTTTCAAGCGTTTAAACGCAAGATTAAACTTTGAATCGTTTCTGCCATCATCGTTATCGCACATAGACAGTATGCCGGGTTCCATATGCCGTAGATTGGAGTTTTCCTTATCGAATGAGTCACCGTATATAGAGGTACCGCCAGTACCGTCAAACTTTGTGACATCTCCTCCTTGGCACCAGTAGCCAGAGACGATACGATGAAATGGAGTGTTCCTAGAAGTTTAACAAGTTTTTTGCACCAAGTATTTCCATAAGAGCTGACACCTCGATATCATTAATGGATTTCTCAATCAAGTTCGGACATATGCTTTAAAAACATTACAATTGTTATATGTATGTCGCGAAATTTTAATGTCAAACTTGTATATGACAGATGGTAATAATTTATACACTTATATGACATATGGTAATAATTGATATACTTATATGACAATCCATTTATCCCACGGCAAAAAGCCGCGAAGTTCTCGCATGTACGTGGTACGATATCGTTGTAGAGTTCAAACACTATACGCCCTAATTTTTGATTTTCTCCTTTAAGTCCAATATCGAAGAAGCATCTCGTTTGACTCTTCTCGGCCAATTGCTTTTGTACTTGTGATGAACTGGACAGTCTTTCAATCACCGAAACGTATCTGCGTTATATCAGAAATTTTATATCATATTTGTGAAAACGTAATCTGTATTTGCTTTACGTTACACTTACGATAAAGCAAAGTTCGATTGCAAAAAAGAGTTTTATAGGTAAATTTGTAAGACAAAATTACTTAAAGCAAAATCTTTGGTATTGGGATATTAATTGATTAACCTTGCACGATGTTCTACTGCCTCGTGCATACTTTTCCAGTCCTTCAAAAACTCACGAGTAGGATATTCACTTTCCACTTGACGAATTTTCTTCAGCATAATTTCATTTTCCCGCATAATTATTTTGTTTTTAAGATTTTGATTCTCAAGCTTTGATTTATACTCGATATCTGGTGCCCAACAATCTACGTGTCCCTAAAAATAGAAAATCAGAATTTATTTTAATTAACATTGCCATGCTTTATTTATCCAAATTTTTTAACATATATATATATATATATATTACGTGGTATATAATATGTATAAAATTATTCTAATTTTACAATGAGCGATATGACGATACTAACCCCTAATCGATGAATTCTGTTGATTTTTTTCAACAGATTTACATTCTCTTTATCTATTTCTTTAACTCGTTCAGCATCTCGTTGCAAGTCAAACTCTTTAAAATAGGCCGATACATTGAAATGCGGAGGTTTGTCATCGATCTTCGATAAAATATATTGAAATTTATGCTTTCTATTATTCATGATTGCATACGATTTGTATGAAATTTAATTTTTCATGATATAAATCTCGAAAAATATTTTTTTATACACGATTGACATTATCATTATATTTTTACGTTTTCTGTCATTTTTATCTCTAGTATCTTCTCTACTAACGGATTTATAACTAACTTTGCAAAACTTTTTATTCATGTGTTTAACATTATAACGTTACATGAATTGATGCAATGTTCAGATAATATTATTACTAATATACATATGTATATACGAACTGAATTTAATAACGAATTAATAATGATGTATTCAACAACATGTTTTTGATAAATAAGCGAATAATAATGCTTATTATACAATAAATTTATGTGCATAAAAACGAAGGTGTTAATAAGCTCATCTAATTATGAACAATAATTAATTTATTACACGTTCGTTTATTTCTTTTGACAACTTCAGCATCCAATTAGTATTAAACTATATTAGCTGATAATTAATGTAATGAAATAAATCAAGTTATTTTCTTTATTATATCGCCATTCTTATTTTTTAATAAAAGCTATATTTTGGACAATTTTTAATATAAAATATATAAAATTACAAAAAGTAAATTATACGAAGAAGAATGAAAGGAAAAATACAATTTTCATAAAATGATGTAAAAAATATTTATCTCATGTTTTGCAATAGTTGCTATAAAAAAAGAAAAATATTAAATTTCAACAAAAAATTGAATATAGAATATTATGATATTTATATTGTTTTATATATTACATTACCTGTGAACATTTGTTTTCTTAAATCTGTTTGCTTGTATTAATATAATTGCAAGAGTCAAAATGCACTCAAAGTACTAAAAGAAATAAATATTTAAAATCAATATTTAAATATTTATCAAAGATGCATAGATGTTTACAAATAATATATAATTAATTATTTACGCACCCTATAAAGAAATTTATAGCCAAATTGAAAAAGTCCAAGCCCGCAAAACCTGAGTGGCGCTTGCATTGTTTGCAATAAAAATTGTAGGATCTGTATTAAGATAATAGATCATATATTATTAATTTTCTGCTTGCAAAAAGTTAAATTACGATTTGTTGAGTCTCTTTTAAAATTGAAGCTTACATTTTCACGTTCTTCCACATCGCGAGTGAAATATGATATTTTACTTAACATGTCGCTTGTTGCATTTGCCTAAAAAATTAGAATCAAATTAATATTATTTGGAATAAAATTATTATAAACTTTAAAGCAATCAAGCAACATTTGAAAACACTTGTAGTATTTAAAACAAGATTGTTTAAAAAAATTCAAATATATAATTTAAATTTGAATGTAGAATCGATATACCTTGGCGCTAACTCGCTCGCATATATAATTTATCAGAATTATTCTGCAGATGTACCATGCTAGCCAAAATGTGATTATTGTGATCATTAAGATTCTTTCGTTAGCGTCGTAATCTCTGATGAATATCGTGAAAAGCTCACGAAATAATTCTGCTATAAAACCGAAATAACATACCATCTTGAAAGTCATTTCTACTTCGAATATTGAGTTTACTTCACGAGATATTTTATGCAATTCCAGATGAAGATGTCTGTGCATAAACACAATATTAAATCTTATTGCGTGATAATAATATATAATAATAGTTAAATTTAAATAAACATTCACATTACGATCCATGTCATATATTTGCTGTTTGGAATGCTGTTTGCATTTGGAAAATTGCGCTGCTGCGAATGCAATATAGAACTTTCCCAAGCTCGCCTTACTCCTCGTATATTCCCTGTTGTCAGTTCATGTAGGTACTTGTTAACTTGATCGTACTTGAATCCTATATATCTAAAAATAGAAGAGAACAGTGAATAACGAAAATTATTTTAAAATACAAGTAAATATAGATTAATATTTATGTAATAGTTTTTCGTATACGTAAAAAAAAAAAACTAACCCTAGAATACTCGCAAAAATCAAGTCATTAATGATATTGATAAGGGAACAATGATTTAAAATAAATGGTAAATAGATAGATGTTAGAGAATCGTAACATATATGTCGCCATCGTATGTAGTCGCTATAATTTAGTAATAAGGCTATTGTTGCCCATCCTAAAATAATCCACACTATTTTTTTATTTAATTTCTGATAATCCATCGTTGTTTTGAGTGTTTCTAATGTGTTATCCATAATAGCAAGTTTCTTCAGACAGTTCCCAAATTTCTTAAAACAAAGAAAAAATTGCAGTAATTAAACAGTAAAATTTTGTGAAAACCCAACACGTTAATTTACATCTAATTATTTTAAAGAATTGTCTATGCCAGAATATTATAAACATTTTATGTTTAAATCATAATTGAATAAAATTATAATTAAATTAATTGTTATTAAAATAAGTTAATAGAAAAATTTTGCTGAATATGTCACAAGAATTTATGCTACATTACTATGGAAAATAAGTCTCTTTACGTTATAAATTCTCTTAAAATTACTATAAAAATCTGTAAATAAAGATTTTATTGTTATTTAATTACATACTCTATTCGAATACGCAATTATGATTATACATATATTGTCAATGTGATGTGTGTGAGAATATACATATTAACATTGTCCTACCTTATCATGATACACTCCAAGAAGCATTGATAATAGAGTTATGAATATGTTCAGTGAAACGTAAAGCCTATATTCGGCGGAATACTTAGGCACATAAGATAGCCCTTTATTTATAACAAGAAAACAATAAGTTGACCAAAATAGGAGAATATAGAAAAGACTGAACCAAAATCTTAGGTGTCCTGTAGGGAACTCCACAATTCTTAAACCGCACACATAACTTATTATCAGGAACGGCGATAAAAGAGATCGAATGCTCGTCGCCATGGCAGATACAAAACTATACTTGTCGACAACAGGTCTCTTTAACTGCCATACTTAGACGTATTGATATAATTGATTCACTGAATTCTATACAAATGAGCTGAAATACAAAACAATTAAAATAATACAACGTAAATAGAAGTTAAACGGCGAAAAATTGATTTTTTAACATTTCTGCTTTTCATTTACGCTATGTGTGTGACGATGTGTTTCAATTTAAAGAATTATATATTTGAATAATAAATAATATACATATATGATAGTATATCGTATTTTAATACGAGTTTTGTATTTCGCAGTAGTTTTTTTTGGAAAATTAATTTTTTGCACAAGATTGGTCAAGAAAATATTGTAAAAAATATATAAATAATATTACATACCAAATATTTATTTACTGTCCATTATATACATTCGTTTAAAAATTTTTACATAATATACACTTTTTTATACCATCATTTTTTAATAGCTATTTGCATAGATATTAAACGAAGCAATAGCTATTTGCATGTACTTGTACTAATATAACCACGATAGTCGCGACAGAACTAGAGAACTGCAATACAATTAAATATTTTGATTTAATATTTTATGGGTTTAATTATTTATAATATATTTATATAACATTACATACTCCGTAAAGAAATTTAAAGCCAAATTGGAAAAGTCCAATCCCATAGAATTTGAGTGGCAATTGAATTATTTGCAACAGAAACTGTGAAATCTATATTATTAATACATATTATTTAATATATATTTTTCTGATTTTCTATCTTGATTTAAAAATTTAAATATAAACTTATTTTAATTGTTAATATATAAATATGTACAATAAGACTTACATTTTCACGAACTTCAACATCACAGGTGGAATACAATATTGTATTTATAAAATTTCCTACTGCATTTGCCTAAAATTAAAATATATGAAATACATGTTAGTGAATTAGTGCAATTTTATAATATTTATTAATTATTAAATATATAAAGAATATATTATATATCGAAATTGAACATAAAATATTGATACCTTAACGCTGACACTTTCACATATACAATTAATAAAAAGGACTTGAGAAGTGTGCACAACATTCCAGAATAATAATATGGTAAGAAACTCCTTTTTTTCGTTAACATCATTTTCGAGACTCGTACTAAATATATGTTTCAAAGTTGATCCTATAAGTCCGAAATACAATCCCATTTTGAATGTCATCTGCACTCCAAATATTGAATTTATTTCGCAAGATATTTTACGTAATTCCAAATGAAGATGTCTGTATAAATGCAATAATAAATTTTGTTGCAAAACTTCATTGTACACTATCTTAAATTCATGTTAACTCTTACATCATTATCCATGTCATATATTTGTTGCTTGAAGTTTTTATTTGTCTGCGATTATGCGAGCGTAACACGTGATTTTTCCAAACCTGTTCTATGCTACATTCATTAATCAGCCCTCGAAAATTTTCATTAATTTGATCAAATTTTAATCCTATATATCTATATATAAAGAATTAATGATAATGTTATTATGAGATATGTACGTGTTGTTCTATTATATCAATATCTAAATTTTTATACATAATCAATTAATACTGATAACATATTTTGAAATAAATTATTATATATTTGATTTAAAAAATTTTTATATATATATACAATGTACACATATATATGTATGTACCAACCCAAGAGTACTGACAATAATCAAATCGTTAACGAAGTTAAGGTGAGGGCAATAAAGTAGTACAACAGTAATACGAGAAGCATCTGTAATATTATAATTATATTCATGTCTGAACCACACAATCTCTACACAGATCATTAATATGATCATCAGGCACCACCCTAAGGCAAGCGATAGTATTTTCATACGCAATTTCTGATAATTTGTCGTTATTCCAAGTTGCTCCAGAGTATCATCGACAATATCGATCCTCTTTAGACAGTTTTTGAACTTCTGTTGCAAGAGGGTATATAAATAAAATAAATCTGAGAACTTGACAACTTTATATTTAAAAGCATACTATAAATATTAAATAGTGAAAAGAAACTTGCTAATAATTTATGCTGGTATATCAAAGTGTATAAAAAATTTCATATCGTTGTAGCAATTTTTTTGCTAAGTAAATATTGTATAGCGTAACAAATTACATTATTAAACATTGAAGCTATTTAAATACATTCAAAATTTTTTATTATTAATATATGTAGTTATGTAATAATATTTTCTTACCTTATTATAATAGATTCCTGAGATAACTGACATTAACGAAATAGAAACGTTCAGAAAAAAGAAAATGTAAAAGTCAATATAGGAATTCATTATGTAAGGTATTATACTTATTAAGAAAAAGAAATAAATCGACCAAAAAAGCAATATATATAGTAGAGAGAATCGTGTTTTAAGGCGACTCGTCGAAAACTCGATGATTCTTAATCCAGATATGTAACTGAATATCAAAAGCGGTGTTAAAATAGTTTGAATATTATTGGTCATCGCGCACACTACTTCGTTTCCGAACTATATTTCGTATACCAACTGAACAGCCACGTTTCAAGTGATGATGGTGGGTATTTGTAATGTCAGAACACTTAGGATTATTAAACCAATCGATCTGCTAAAGTTTATATGTAATATATTTGGCGATACATTTAAATAGGTCACGATGATGAATATATGATCTGTCTTTATGAAAGCTATTGCAAACATGAATATGATATTTTGAATATTTTTTATACTTGTGTTTTTGTTTTTAAAATTTGTATAATGCTATAACATATACACAATTTTATATAGCAATAAGAGATATAAGCCATCGACTTAAATTTAAAGTTAAAAAGTAGGAAAATATAAAAAAATGATCACAAAATGTTTATTTTTGTCGTAGTTGTAGAAATTAAATAATTATTCAATCAAATAGTTAAAATTGATTAAATAAAGTATAATTTTTGAAGAAATAATAATGCGGATATATAAAATTGACGTGAAAGCTAAAATAAAAATATTAATCTTTACCTTGCATTTCCTTTGCCTCCGTAAGATGACTAATATTAACTTTCACACAGTATAAGTATATAAAATAAAAACGAGATATGTAATATAATCGAAAAGAAAATCTCTTTTTTGTGCACAAAAAATCGTGGATGAAATTTTGTCATTTTGTTTTTCAATAAATTTATTTTAAGAATTCAATAATCGATGATATATTTACGGGCTTTAAAAGTGAATAGTTTAATTTATATGATTGTCAAAAATATATTTATTACATCACATATGTCATGTAATTTTTTACGTAATAAATATTATATGACGTACAGTATATTTTATGAAGTATTATACATATAATAAATATATGATGTGTCTACAGAGTCTGAATATTATGTTTATTATAATTTTATAAAAATGTTTACTTATTTGTATGTGCTTGTATTAATATAACTAAAACGGTGGCCATAGACGTAATAAACTACAAATAAGAAAAAGAAAGAGTAATTTATTTATCATGAATTAATTATTTGTAATTGATAATTGTATTATTAATAACACACATACTCTTTGAAGGAATTTGAAACCAAACTGAAAGAGTCCAAGTCCGCAGAATCTCAACGGCGATTGAATCATAAGTGAAAGTTGTAGAACCTATATTAATTCAATAGATTATTTAATATATGTATATATATATATATTTTCGGTTCTTCGTTTTTATATAATTAAACGTAAACGTTTATATTTAAAGAACAAATTAACTTATTAATTGTTTAGACTTACATTTTCATGAATTTCAACATCGCAATTGGAGTATAATAATTTACTTACAAAATTTCCAGTTTCATTTGCCTAAAATTAGAATGAATAAATAAAATAATATGTATATATATATATATATATATTATAATTTAATAAGTAAAATAATTGCTAATAAGTAAAATTTGCATTTTTAAGTTTGATACCTTGATGCTAATTCTTTCACATTCATAATTAGTGAAAAACAGTCTCAAAACATCTATGAAAAGGTGTGTTAGGATTGTAACGATGTAAAGAGTTTTATGATTATAGTTATAATCGTTGATAAATATTATATTAAAGATTTCATAAAAACCAACGCTATGCAAGCGAAGAAACATCCCATTTCCAAAGTCATTAGTGCTCCAAATATTGAATTTATTATGCGGCATATTTTACGTAACTCTGAATAAAGATGTCTGTGTAAACGTATCATTAGTTTATTGCACGACGTGTAACCATGATTAAGTAAATATGAAATTTCTTACATTACAATCCATATGATGTGTCCGCTTTCCGAAGTTCTTGTATATTTAGATTGTAAAGGTAATACTGGATGTTCCCAAGTCCGCTTTAGTATACATTGATTACTTTTTGTTAATTTCTGAATGTGCTCATTGATTTGATCAAATTTCAATCCTACGTACCTTAAGATTAGGAAAATTAGTCGACAATAAATATAAACAAATTCTTATATATTTAAAGTTTGAACAAACCTAAACAGGCTTATTATAGTAAAATCATTGATAATATTTATATGTATACAATATCTGTGTATAATAGGAATATAGAGAGATTGAGCAATGTTCTGATTATCTCGCATCCTCCTAAGTCGGAATTCCTCACAAATTGTTATTACACATAATATAAGCCATCCTAAAATAAGCCACACTGTTTTTACATATAGTTTGTCATCTGTTATTTTTCCCAATTTTTGCAATGTTTCGTCCACAATAGTGAGGTTTTTTATACACTTTTTAAATGTCTGACAACAAGACAATATGCAGTAAATTCTAAATTATTTCCATTATTATAATATTTTTTGTTATGTAAATATATTATAAGTATAAGAGGTTATATCATTTTATAATATTATCAATGTTTTCAAGCATTCATCTTTATTAATATTTTTCTACGTTAAGTTCTTTTTACCTTATCATGATATACCCCAACAATAATTGACGATAATGCAGTAAAGATATTTAGTGCAAACCAAATATGGTACAGAGTGGAGTAATGTATTACATAAGGTAGTACTCCATATATATAAAAGATATAATAAACTGACCACAATGATAACATATATAAAAGACCGAACCATCGTGCGCGTTTCGGGACATTTGCAGGCAATTCTATCAATCTTAAACCGCAAATATAACTTATCCTTAACAATGGCGATAAAATTTTTTGAATGCTCATAACGAATGTTACACTGAACTGCGCTTGCTTTGTGAACAATTTCTCGGAAACGAATGAAGTGGATCTTCGTAATCTCATTCATTACAATTATGCATAATGAAATAATCGATATACTGAATTATTCATATTGCAAACTATATGTAGAAACAGATGATAGGGATACATCACGTGTTTTTAGACAAAATATACATACGCGACCATTTATGTTGTTCTTGGCACTTTTATGTTTCATTTTTCTATTTATATGATTATGCGGTCGCATGACATGATTAAAATCATAAAATAATATTATTAGGAGAAGAAATATTAGTTTTATATTTTACATAACTTTTTGTGAAAAATTAATTTTCAAAAAAATGTCGAGAAAATATTTCAAAAATCTACATATTACGTACTAAATCTTTATGTATTATTTATTATATGTATATTTACTTATAATTTGTATACATTTTCTAACATTGTTTACTTGCATGTGCTTGTACTATTATAATCACGACAGACACGATGGAAGTTGAGAACTGAAATACAGTCTATCTAAACATCTATTTAATATTGAATGAATATTATTTATAATAAATAAATTATATGACAAATACATACTCCGTAAAGAAATTTGAAACCAAACTGGAAAAGTCCAATTCCACAGAATTTGAGTGGCGACTGAGTTATTTGAAGTAAAAGCTGTGAAATCTATATTATATTTAAATGTATTATTTAATTCATATATTTCTTTATTTAATACTTCTTTATTTAAAATTAGTTAAATTTATTTAAATTCAAATTATTTCAATTTAATCTTTATTTAGGCTTATTTTAATAACTCTAAACAAACGTGTATAATAAAATTTATATTTTCACGAATTTCATCATCACAAGTGGAAGACGATATTTTATTTATATAACTTCTTATTGCATTTGCCTTAAATACCGTTAAAATATGAAATACATATTAGTGTTTAACTTGATTATATTTTTTTAAACATTTCTTAATAACCACGATAGTTCACGATATAAAATAAAATTTTACGTCATTTCAATTTTCAATAAATTTATTTTGAGAATTCAATAATCGATGATATTTGCGGGCTTTAAAATTGAATGGTTTAATTTATATGATTGTCAAAATATATTTATTACATCACATCATGTCATGTAATTATATAATTGTTTACATAATAAATATTATATGACGTACGGTATATTTTATAATATATCATACTTATATTAAATATTATGTGCCTATAGAGTCAATTAAATTGTTTCTGCATATTATGTTTATTATAAGTCTGTAAAACTGTTTTTATTTGTATGTGCTTGTATTAATATAACTAAAACAGTAGCCATAGATGCAGTGAACTGTAAATAAGACAAAGAAAGAGTATTTATTTTTTATCGTGAATTAACTATTTATAATTGATAATTATATTATTAATAACACACGTACTCCTTGAAGAAATTTGAAACCAAACTGAAAGGATCCAAGTCCGCAGAATTTCAATGGCGATTGAATCATAAGTAAAAATTGTAGAATCTATATTAATTCAATGGATTATTTAATATATATATATTTCCGTTTTTGTTTTTATATAATTAAACGTAAAAGTTTATATTTAAACAACAAATTAATTTATTAAAAAAAAATTTTTTCAAAGAGTTTTATCCTTGTGATTAATTTATTAATTGTTTAGACTTACATTTTCATGAATTTCGACATCGCAATTGGAATGTAATAATTTACTTATAAAATTTCCTGTTTCATTTGCCTAAAATTAGAATATGTAAATTAAAATTAATTGTATATTAATAAAATTTATTACAAATATATATATATATATATATATATATATTATAAAAATAAAAATATTGTTAAATAGAAGTTTTAGATAAATATATACATTTTTCAAGTTCGGTACCTTGATGCTAACTTTTTCACATTCGTAATTAAAGAAAACAATTAAAAAAATTTCTAACAAAAACTGTAGTAGCATTGAAGAAGTAAAGACTGTTCTATGATTAAAGGTATAATCATTGAAATATATTATATGAAATATTTCTTGAGAATTCAACACTACACATGCGAAGGCACATCCCATTTCCAAAGTCATTAATGCTCCGAAAATTGAATTTATTATGCGGTATATTTTACGCATTTCGGAATAAAGATGTCTGTAAACGTATATTAGTTTATTACACGTCTGGCCATAATTAAGTACATTTTATATAATCTCTTACATTACAATCCATATCATATATCTGCTTTCTAAAATTCTTGCACATTTAGATTGAAAAAGTAATATCGGATGTTCCCGAGTCCGGTTTCCTATACATTTATTATTTTTCGTTAATTTCTGAACGTGTTCTTTGATTTGATCAAGTTTCAATCCTACGTACCTAAAGATTGAGAAAATTAGCCGATAATAAATATAAACAAATTCTTATATATTTAAAGTTTGGACGAACCTAAACAAGGTTATTATAGTAAAATCATTGATAATATTTATATGCATGCAATATCTGCGCACAATAGGAACAAAGAAAGATTGAGGAATGTCTTGATGGTTTGCGTCCCTCATAACTAGGAATTCCACATACAATGTTATTGTACAAACTATAAGCCATCCTAAAATAAGCCATACTGTTTTCATATATAGTTTATCATCTGTTATTGCTCCCAATTTTTCCAATGTTTCGTCCACAATAGTGAGGTTCTTCATACACTTTTTAAATGTCTGACAAGAAGATAATATGCAGGAAATCCTAAATTATTTCTATTATTATATTTTTTTTGATATGTAAATATATTATAAGTATATAGGGTGTCCGGTAACTAACGGACCAACGATTACAAATGGATTTTTGGTCAATTTGGGAACGATTTTTCCTCAGCGAAAATGTCGAAAAAGGTCATCATTTTTTACAACTTTCCAATATTTGTCATTATGTATCTTTATAACTAAGCCTTAAATTAAAATTTTATTATAGTAAACTCTACCTGAAATTAACTGAAGAATGTAATTATGTTAGACTTTTAACTCCAAAACGTTTAGTTTTCAAAAAACCCATTTTTTTCAATCGCTTATAACTCAAAAATTATTGACTTCTCAACATTTTTGCTAAGAAAAAATTGTCTCCAAATTGGCCAGAGAATCCGCCCTTAATCATTGGTCCGTTAGTTACCGAACACCTTGTATATGTATAAGAGGCTATAAATTATATCATTTTATAATATTATCAATGTTTTCAAGCATTCAAGCTTGATTAATATTTTTCTACGTCCTAAGTTCTTCGTACCTTATCATGATATACCGCAACAATAACTGCCGATAATGAAGTAAACAAATTTAGTGCACACCATACATGGTACAGAATGGAGTAATCTATTACATAAGGCATTACTCCATATATATAAAAGAAATAATAAACTGTCCACAATGACAATATATACAAAAGACCGAACGATCGTGAGCACCTCATCGGGGCACTTGCAGGCAATTCTATCAATCTTAAACCGCAAATATAACTTATCTTTAACAATGGCGATAGAATTTTTTGAATGCTCATAGCAAATGTTACTTTGAATTGCACTTGCTTTGTTAACAATTGCGCGGAAACAAATGAAGAGGATCTTCATAATATTTTTCATTACACTTATGCATAATGAAATAATCGATGTACTGAATTTTTCATATTGCAAATTATAGAAACAAATGATTGGACATCATATATGTTTTCAGACAAAATACATACGCGAACATTAATGTTGCTCGTGGCACTTTTATTTTTCATTTTTCTACTTATATGATTTTATGGTCTCATGACATAATTAAAAGCATAAAATAATGAGATATAATGTTATAATTTATTATTGATTTTAATTAATACTAATATATATTAATAATAAGGCGGGGGATGAAAAGGGAGATAAGGACACGAAGAATAAATAAAAAGAATAATAAAATCACATAAAAGATTGGAAATATTAGTTTTATATTTTACATAATTCTTTGTAAAAAATTAATTTTCAAACAACGTGGAGAAAATTTATCAAAAAATTACATACATGTATTACCAAAAAAGGACGAGAGTTTCTAATAATGTTTATTTGCATGTGCTTGTACTAATATAATCACGACAGTCACCATAGAAGTTAAGAACTAAAATGCAGTCAATCTATGTTTAATATTTTATGGATTTAATTATTTGTAATAAATATATTATATGACAAATGCATACTCCATAAAGAAATTTGAAACCAAACTGGAAAAGTCCAACCCCATAGAATCTGAGCGGCGACTGAATTACTTGAAGTGAAAGCTGTGAAATCTATATTATTGAAATGTTATTTAATGCACACATATATCTTCATAATTCTTCTATATTTAAAGTTATTTAAATTTAAATTACTTCAATTTAATATTTATTTATGTTTATTTCAATAACTTTAAACGAATGTATATATACGATCAAACTTACAATTTCACGAATTTCATCATCACAAGTGGAATACGATATTGTATTTATAAAACTCCCTATTGCATTTGCCTACATTAAAATATGAAATACATATTAGTGTTGAATTCTATTTTAGTACTTTAAACATTTCTTAATAACAATAAACATATAATGAATATGTAGATATGTATATACGAAATTCAATACTCCAACTATGTATATCGAAATTGAATATAGAGTTTGTACCTTAAAGGTGACTCTTTCACATGTATTATTAATGAGGATAACTTGGAAAACGAACACAATTTCCCAAAATGATGTTACAACAAGAAATACTTTTCCTTCTTTCATATAATTTTCGATGAATATTGTGTTAAACATTACACGCAAAAATGTTCCTATAAGTCCAAAATACAGTCCCATTTTGATGGTCATCTGCATTCCAAATATTGAGTTTATTTCTTGAGATATTTTACGTAACTCCAAATAAAGATGCCTGTAATAATGCAATATAATATTTAACCATAATTATTGATAATTTAACTCGTTGCTTTTTTTATAAAATCTTATCGTTAAAATTTATTACTTTATTAAAATTTATATTATCTCTTACATCACAATCCATGTCATATATTTGTTGCTTAAAACTTCTGATCGTCTGCGTTGACGCGAATGTAACACATAATCTTTCCGAGCCCGTGGATTTATTTCACTTTCTTTAGTCAGCTTTCGAAGATTATCATTAACTTGATCAAATTTCAATCCTATATATCTATATACATTTAGAATTATATTTAATGAATATTTATTCTTATAAATTAAGAATAAAAAATTGAGAATTTTCAAGTTTTTATACGTAATAAATTAATATTTCTAACATAAATTTTCTAAAAATTATTGCATATGATTTCTTATTTATACACATTTATGTACATATATATACATACTTGCATGTACTAACCCAAGAATAGTAGCAATAATCAGATCGCTAATGAAATTAAGATGTAGACAATAATAGAGAATCAAAGCAATAGTGGAAACTATTGCAATGTTATAACCAGTTTCATATTTTGACCGTAAAATCTCTATACATGCCATTAATATGACCATCATGCACCATCCGGAAGTAAGCCATACTATTTTTATGTGCAACTTCTGATAATCCATTGTTGTTCCAAGTTGTTTAAGCGTATCATCAACAATAGCGATCTTTTGCAGACATTTTTTAAATTTCTGTGTTGCAAAAAGAAATGTATTTAAAATTTATTTAAAAACTTGATAACTTTGCATCTGGTTAAACATAATATTATTTCTAAATAATTAAATATTAATTTTAAATTTTCAATTTAAAAAATTTATTGTGAATATATATAATGAATAGAAAAACTTACTAATAATTTGTACTTATTAGATCAAGATACAGAAAATCGCCCATTGTTATTGCGAAGGTATTTTTTGCTACAGAAATATTTTGCAGCATAGCAAACTACATTATTTAACATTGAAGCCATTTAAATACAATCTAAATTATTTATTATTGATATATTAAGTGGTGATATATTATTATATAATTTCTTACCTTATTATAATACACTCCTGAGATAACTGACATTAACAAAATAAATATATTTAGACTTAAAAAATGAAAAATTCGACATTGTAATCGCTTATGTAAGTTAATATACGTGTCAGTAGAAAGAAATAAATCGACCAAATTAACAATATGTACAGTAAAGAAAATCCTGCTTTCCGGCGACTTGTCGGAAATTCGACCACTTTTATTCCGGACACATAAGTAATTATCAAAAGTGGTTTTAAAATTGTTTGAATATTATTGCTCATTGCATGTCCTATTTCGTTTCCGGACTGAACAGTCGTGTCACACTAAATGATAGCACATATTTATAATGTCAGAATACTTAAGAACATTAAAATAATCGATCGATTGACGTTTACATACCGTAAAACATTTATATAATTCAGAATATGGATGTTTCTTTTATAATGGAAGTAGAAATGTTTTTTTTTAATATTTTTAATCTTTATTATTTTTCCCCAAAGGTTTTGTAATACAATAACATATATTTAGTGATTTTATCAATTAATAAGAGATAAAAAATTGAGTTTAATAATAATTAATAGTGAAGTAATAGAAGATATAAGTAGTGATCATATATCTTTGTTTTTAATATAGTTGTGAAAATGCTATTTTTTAATTAATGAAAGAAAAATTGATTTTTCGCAAAGATAATTTTTCTGAAGAATATAAAATAAATAAAAATTTCGTACAAATAAAAATTATATTGAGTCAAATGCATAAAATTAAACTATTGAAAAAATAATTTATAATGAATACATAGTGAGAAAATAATTAATTATGTATAATAAAATCATAACAAAGATTGAAAATATTAGATTTATATTTTATAGAACTTTTTCGAAACAAATTAATTATGAATAAAAATGTTAAGAAAATATTTGAAAATATTACACACACATACATTTTATATATAAAATATTTATATACTATTCATTACATATTAAAAGTTTTTATACATTATTTATATCATCATCTTCTAACAATGTTTACTTGCATTCGCTTGTACTAATATGACCACGACAGTCATGATAGAAGATGAGAACTAAAATACAATTAATTTCTATTGAATGTTTTATGGATTTAATTATTTGTAATAAAAATATTATATGATAAATACGTACTCCGTAAAGAAATTTGAAACCAAACTGGAAAAGTCCAACTCCATAAAATCTGAGTGGCAATTGAATCACTTGAAGTAAAAGCTGTGAAATCTATATTATTGAAATTTATTATTCAGTGCATATATTTTAATAATTTGTCTTTAATTAAAATTAGTTAAATTTATTTAAATTTAAATTAATTCAATTTAATCTTTACTTAGGATTATTTTAATAACTCTAAACAAACGTGTGCAATAAAACTTACATTTTCACGAATTTCATCATCACAAGTAGAATATGGTATTCTATTTATAAAACTTCTTATTGAATTTGCCTACAGTTAAAATATGAAATACTTATTAGTGTTAAATTTTATTATATTTTTTTAAGAAATAGAATTTATACCTTAAAGGTGACTCTTTCACATGTATAATTAATAAGAATAACTTGGAAAGCGAACACAGTTTCCCAAAATAACGCTACGACAAGAAATGCTTTTCTTTCATTCGTTAAATTTTTTATAAATATTGTGCTAAACATAACATGCAAGAATGATCCTAGAAGTATAAAATACAATCCCATTTTAGTAGTCATCTGCATTCCAAATATTGAGTTTATTTCTTGAGATACTTTACGTAACTCCAAATAAAGATGCCTGTAATAATGCAATAAAATATTTAACCATAATTACTGAAAATTTAACTCGTTGCTTTTTTTTATAAAATCTTATCGTTAAAATTTGTTAAAATTATTAAATTATAATTTTATTAAAATTTATTTTAACTCTTACATTAATACCCATGTCATATGTTTCTTGCTTAAAGTTAGTGATTGTCTGTGTTGACGCGAATGTAACACGTGATCTTTCCAAGCCTGTTTTATTTTGCATTCTTTAGTCAGTTTTCGAAGATTATCATTAATTTGATCAAACTTCAATCCTATATATCTATACATATATAATCGAATTTTTTGATTATTTATTCTTATAAATCAAGAATAAATTTAAAATTTAAGAAGCTTCAAGTTTTTATATGTAATTAATTAATATTTCTAATATAAATTTTTTATAAATTATTGCATATGATTTCTTATATATATAGTGTCCCATAATTCGCGAATCACCTTTCATGGGCAGATAGAGCGTGTTAAACCGAATAGAAAAATCCTGTATCATTTTGCATATATACATTTACATATATATACAGTGTCCCATAATTCGCAAATCATTTTTCATGGGCAGATAAAGCGTGTTAAACTGAATAAAAAAATTCATGTATCATTTTGCGATATTCGCAATAATTATTGAGTTATTAATTAAAATATCTAAACGAATGAGCGAGTAGAAAACGATAGGCTGGACTCGGTGTGCATGTCGGATGACTTCTTTGTTATATGCCGCTTAGTATCAAAAGTATTATATTACTTTTCGGCGCCACTACATTGGTCGCCGCTCGTTGCATGACGCCGCCTCTCGATCAAATAATGCTTTCTACCTGCTTATCCGTTTAGATATTTTAATAAATGACTCAATAATTATTGCGAATATCGCAAAATGATACATGAATTTTCTATTCGGTTTAACACGCTTTATCTGCCCATGAAAAGTGATTTGCGAATTATGGGACACTGTATATATATGTAAATGTATATATGTATATAGTATGTATATGTATATATATGTATAAATACTTGCATGTACTAACCCAAGAATAGTAGCAATAATCAGATCGCTAATAAAATTAAGATGAAGACAATAAAATATTACCAAAGTAATATTGGAAACTATTATAATATTATAACCAGTTGCATATTTTAATCGTACAATATCTACACATACTATTAAGATGACTGACATACACCATCCTAAAATAAGCCATACTATTTTTATGTGCAACTTCTGATAATCTGTTGTTATTCCAAGTTGTTTAAGCGTATCATCAACAAAAGCGATCTTCTGCAGACATTTTTTAAACTTCTGTGTTGTAAAAAACATATATAATTAAAATTTATTTGAGTTTGTTAATTTTATATCTAGTAGAGCATAATATTAATATTTAAAGAGTTAAATATTTTTATATTTTTAATTAAAAAATAATTTTATTGAGAATGTATGTAGCGTAAAGAAAAACTTTAAAATAATTTGTACGCGTATATCAAGATGCAGAAAATTGTATACTGTTATGACAAAAATATTTTTTGCTAAATAAATATTGTGCAGCATTGCAAACTACATTATTAAAGGTTCAAGCTTTTTAAATACAATCTAAATTTTCATTATTAATACAAATGGTGAGAGAGAGATATATTAATATTTTCTTACCTTATTATAATATACTCCTGAGATAACTGACATTAACGAAATTAAAATGTTCAGACTAAAGGAAATGAAAAAGTCGACATTGTAATGGCTTACATATGGTAATATACGTATTAGTAGAATGAAATAAATTGACCAAATTAATAATATATATAATAAAGAAAATCGTGCTTTTCGACGACTTTCCGAAAATTCGACCATTTTTAATCCGGACACATAAGTAATTATGAAAAGTGGTGTTAAAATTGTTTGAATATTATTGCTCATTGTACGTTCTACTTCGATTCCGCACTATATTTTGTTTGCGAACTGAACAGTCGCGTGTCACTAGATGACAGCAAATATATATAATGTCAGTATACTTAAAAACATTAAAATAGTCGATCGGTTAATGTTTACATGTCGTGAGATATATAATTCAGAATAATGGATCTGGCGATGTTTCTTTCATAATGGATGTAGAAATGTTTTTCTTCATATTTATAATCTTTGTTATTTTTTCCGAAAGTCTTTATATATATATATATATATATATATATATATATATATATATATTATAATACATATCTAATTATTTTATCAATTAATAACAGATAAAAAATTGTGTTTAATAATAATTAATAGTGAGCAATACAAAATATAAATAATAATTGTAAAACTTTATTTTTAATATATTGTAGTTGTAGAAATTATATTTTTTAATTAATAAAAGAAAATTGGTTTTTCGCGAAGAATAATTTTTGTGAAGAAAATAAAATGAATAAAAATTTCGTTCAAATAAAAATTATATATTGAATCAAGTGCATTAAATAGAACAAATGAAAAAATAATTTATAATGAATATGTAGTGAGAAAATAAATAAGAACGTATATTAAAATCATAATAAAAATTGAAAATATTAGATTTATATTTTACAGAAATTTTTCTAAAAAAATTAATTTGTACTAAAATGTCAAGAAAATATTCGTAAATATTACATACATACATATTTTACATATTTAATATTTATATATTACTCAATTTGCTTAAAAGTTTTATACATTATTTATATCATTATTTTCTAACAATGTTTACTTGCATGTGCTTGTACTAATATGACCACGACAGTAATGATAGAAGTTGAGAACTGAAATATTATTAATCTCTATTGAATATTTTATGAATTTAATTATTTACAATAAATAATTATATGATAAAATGCATACTCCGTAAAGAAATTTGAAGCCAAACTGGAAAAGTCTAATTCCATCAAATTTAATTGGCAATTGAATCACTTGCAGTAGAAGCTGTGAAATCTATATTATTTAAATGTATATAGTTTCAAAATTTTTCCTTACTTAAATTTACATAAATTCTTTTTTACTCTCACATATATTTAAATTTAAATTTAAATTATTCCAACTTAATCTTTATTTAGATTTATTTTAGCAACTCAACAAGTATATACAATAAAATGTGTTTAATAAAATATACTTACATTTTCACGAACTTCGTCATTAGAAGTGGAATATGGTATTCTATTTATAAAACTTCCTATTGCATTTGCCTACATTTAAAATGTATGAGATATATTAATGTTAAATTCTGTTTTACCAGTGTACTTTAAACATACATATAATAAATATGCATATACATACTAAAGTGAATTCTACATATATTTATATCGAAATTAAATATAGAAGTGTTACCTTAGCGCTGACTCGTTCACATATACAATTAATGAGAAGAACTTGGAAAGTGATCACAATTTCCCAAAATATCATTATGACCAAGAATTCTTTCTTTTTTTTAACATAATCTTTGATGAGCATCACGCTAAACATTACACGCAAAGACGATCCTATAAGTCCAAAATACAATCCCATTTTGAAAGTCATTTGCATTCCAAATATTGAATTTATTTCATGAGATATTTTACGTAATTCCAAATACAGGTGTCTATAAATGCGATAGTAATTTTAGCTTTAAAAATTTGTTATATGTTTCTTAAAATCATTTTGGCACTTACATTACTATCCATGTCATATATTTGTCGCTTAAAGATTTTAATTGCCTGCGTTGACGCGAATGTAACACGCGATCTTCCCAAGCCTGTTTTATTTCGTATTGATTAGTCAGCTTTCGGAGATTATCATTTATTTGATCAAACTTCAGTCCTATATATCTGTATATAAAGAAAGTTGATGATTATTACTTGTAAAATAAGATTAAATTTAAACTTTAAAAAATTTCAAGCTTTTATACGTAATACATTAATATTTATAACATGAATTGTTTCGAAAATATTATATAATGATTATTTGTACTATATATGTATAAATTTAGGTATGTATATATACAGGGTGATTCAAAACAACTAAAAGAAATAGCGAATTACGGCACGCGTACGGGCGCTCAAGAATTAAAATTATGTCGCAACATAATAAAAATTCGATAAATTAAAATTATGTCGAGACATAATAAAAATTCGATGAATTAAAATTATGTCGCAACATAATAAAAATTCGATGAATTAAAATTATGTTGCCACATACCTAATAAAAATTATGTCTGGGTATAAAAATAATTCCTAATTTTTATTATGTCTCGACATAATTTTAATTTATCGAATTTTTATTATGTCTCAACATAATTTTAATTCATCGAATTTTTATTATATACATACGGTTATCTTGAATCACCCTGTATATACGTATTACGTATATGTACACATATACATGCATGTACTAACCCAAGAGTACTAGCAATAATCAAGTCGCCAAAGAGACTAAGATGAAAGCAATGAAATATTACAAAAGTAATATTGAAAGTTAGTATAAGATTTTGACCTATTTCATTTCTTAACCGTACAGTTTGTAGACATGTTATTAAGATGATCATCATGCACCATCCTACAGTAAGCCGCACTATTTTTAAATGCAACTTCTGATAATCCGTTGTTGTTCCAAGTTGTTTTAGCGTATCATCGATAAGAGCGATCTTTTCTAAACATTTTTTAAACTTCTGTTGCAAAGAAGAATATATAATTAAAAATTTATCTGAAAGCTTGACAAGCTTTATAATAATGTAGTATAAAAGTATAATTTTAATCTTTAAAGAATCGAATATTATTCTTATATTCTCAATTTAAGAAGAAATTATTTTATTATAAATATATGGTGAAAAGAAAAACTTGTTCATAATTTGTACTTATATAACAACGATGTAGAAAATCGTATATTATTATGACAGTATTTTTTATAGCAAACTACATTATTAAAGATATTCAAGCTATTTAAATACAGTCTAAATTATTTATTATTATTAATACAAGTAAGCTAATGTATCCAATATTTTCTTACCTTATTATAATACATTCCTAAGATAACTGACGTTAACGAAATAAAAATGTTCAGACCAAAGAAAATGAGAAAGTCGACGTTATAAATAATTAGGAAAGCTAATGCTTTGCGTGTCAACAGAAAGAAATAAATCAGCCAAAATAGTAATATATACAGCAAAGAAAGTTGGACTTTCCGGCGATTTGTCGAAAATTTGATTACTTCTAATCCGGACACATAAGTAATTATCAGAAGTGGTGTTAAAATCGTTTGGATATTATTGGCCATTGCGCGTACTACTTCGATTCCGAACTACATTTCGTTTACAAACTGAACAGCTACGTCTCATCGAATGATAATGTTAACGGGTATTTTTAATGTCAGAATACTTAAGAATATTAAAATTATTGATCGGTTACAGTCTCGATACATTTAATTAAGTCGGATAAATGAAGACAATGTCTCTTTTATAATGCAAATTTAAATGTTATTCTTAATTTGCTCATAATCTTCATTATTTTTCTCCAAAGTTTTTATAATGCTATGTTAAAATGTGCTTTTGTTATAATTGTAGAAAATATTTTTTAATTATTTATAAATCGATTTTTTACAAATATAATTTGAAAAAAAAGACAAGGGAGATAAATAAAATTGATGTAAAAATAAAATACGTATTATGGTATATTTTATATTATTTATAATATTACATATTACATATTATATGAATCTATCAAATTGTTTTATATATTATGTTTGTTATAATTTTTTAAATATGTTTACTTATTTGCATTTATATGCGCTTGTAATAATATAACTAAAACAGTTGCAACAGATGTAATAAACTGTAAAAGGAAAGAAATACTAGTTTTTCAAATTTTTATTATTTTAATTATTTTTAATTATATTATTGTAACATACGTACACCATGAAGGAATTTGAAACCAAATTGGAAAAATCCAAGTCCGCAGAATTTTAATGGTGTTTGAGTCATAAGTAAAAGTTGTATAATCTAAAATCCATTAAATTATTTAACATGTAATTCATATTTTCCGTTCTTTTTTTATATATTTAAATTTAAATAAAAGTTTATATTTTGATAACATTGAAATAGAAAATGTTAATACTTACGTTTTCGCGAATTTCAACATCGAAACTGGAATATGATAATTTACTTATAAAATTTCCTGTCGCATTTGCCTAAGAATATGTGAAATAAAATTAATGATCTCAAAAAATCACTTTTCAACATATAAATTGTATATTGTATATATTATAATTTACTAAGTCGAATAATTGTATTTAAATTAGTTTCAAATATTATAGATGCATTTTTTTAAAAGTGATACCTTGATGCCAACTTTTTCACATTCATAATTAATGCAGAAGAGTCTAAAAATTTCTATAAAGAGCAGTATTATTATTAAAAAGATATATAATGTGTTATTTTCATTCTTTCTATAATCTTTGATAAATATCAAATTAAGCACTTCTTGAGAGCCCAATGCTATGCGTGCGAAATAACATCCCATTTCGAGAGTCATTTGTGTTCCAAATATTGAATCTATTTTCCGAGATATTTTGCGCAATTCCGAATAAAGCTGTCTGTATATATAAACGTAAAAATTAACTTATAAGCGCAAATTTCAATCATGATTAATTAAATTGATTTAAATTCTCTTACATTACAATCCATATTTTATATCCATTTCTCGAAGTTCTTGCATATCTGGATTGACGAGAAACTAATACAGGATGTTCCGAAGTCTGCTTTATTTTAATTTTATAATCACGTTCCATCAATTTCTCAAGATTTTCATTGAGTTGATCGAATTTCAGTTCTACGTATCTAAAGATTAAAAACATTCGTGCATGGATAGATATAAGCAAAAAAAAATAAATACAAGCAAATATTTGTATATATTTACAAGTTTGAACTAACCCGAGCATAGTTATTATAGTTAAATCGCTTATAATATTAATATGCATATAATAAATGCGCACAAAAGGAATATATATAGCTGACGTAAAATCTATATTGCTCTTCAAATTTTGAATTTGTACACAAATTATGAGCGTGGCTGCCATAAACCATCCTAAAATGAGCCGCTTTGTTCTTGTATGCACTTTGCAATTCATTATTATTCCCAAATTTTCCAATGTATCGTCCACAAAGTTGAGGTTCTTTATACATTTTCTAAATGTCTAATAACATATATGAAGATATAATGCAGTAAATTAATAATTTGTATTCATCAAAATATTGGCGATTTTAATATCTAGCAATATAATCATATTATCTTAAAATACATGTAATATAAGGTGTAAATACTTTCTATATTTTTACATTTATTATTTTACGTTTATTTTTTATGTTTATCATATTTCAAGAAATGATTGATTTTATAAATCGGACGTATAGGAGAAGTAAAATTTGTTAATAATTTACGATAACTTAATATGCTACGTCTATTATATTTTTATGACTGTATCTTTTTGATACATAAATATTATGAAAAAGTTATAAGTTATGTTCCATTTTACAATTAATGATTCTAAACATTCAAGCAGAATTTTCTTCTACGTTAGGTTCTTCCTACCTTATCATGATATACCCCAACGACAATTGACAAAAACGCAGTAAATATGTTTAGTCCGTAACAAATAAAATATAAAACGGAATAATTAATTGTATTAGGTACTACATCATACAAGTAAATAAAACTATAAATTGACCACAATAGCATCATGTACGGAAGACTCAACCATCGTCTCGGAACACCTGTAGGATACTCCATCACTCTTAAACCGGACACATAACTGATTATTAATAATGGCAATAAAATTTTTCGAATGTTCATAATGAATATAACTCTCTGAACTACACTTGTTTTAGCAACAATTGCGTTGAAACGAATGAGAAGTGGGTCTCCGTAATTTCATTCATTACATTTATTCATAATGAAATAATCGATATACTGAATTTCATATATTGCAAACCATAGAAACATTGATGGTTGGCAACGTCACATGTTTTCAGACTACATACATACAGTTATACCGCAAACACCGATGTTGCTTTTGGCATTTTTTATTCTACTTACATGATTATACGCGATTAAAAGCATCGGATAATGAAATATTGTCGTATTGTAATTTCCTATTTATTAGAATTATTATTAATAACTTTGATAATATAATAATATGATTGCAAGAGAAAAAGAAAGAAAGAAAGATATAGAAAAAGAGAAAGCGAGGAGAGGGCGACAGAAAGAATAATGTTGATAACACATTTCTCTTTAATATGTAAAAAAATAATATTTTTTGATAAAATTATTTGGTATATAAAATTGTTTTCACGTAATAAACGGAAAGGATATAGAAAGGAGAGATAAAATGAATATAAGTAAAGAATATATAAGGTTTACATTTTTTAATTTGTTATAATTTTTATAATAATTTTGACGACAATTATTAATTTTGAATTCCAAAATATACAATTTTGTTAATAATATTTAAAAGAAATCTTAATTTCTCTTAAAAATTTTATATATTACCATTCAAATATTATTGAAATATATTTCAGTGTATTAATTATTTATATTTGCAATGTATATGAGTTAATTTTAAAATGCTAGTTTATTTACGTACGTCTGCATTAATAAAACTACAACGGAAGTGATAAGTACACTGAACTGCAAGACATTATTTTTTTTTAAATAATTATTGTTTTAATTGTTCAGTAAATAATTATATGATACATTTATATACATATATTACATTTACGTACCTTTTGAAGAAATTTGTAGCCAAATTGAAAAAGCCCAATTCCATAGAATTTAACTGGTATTTGTGCCATTTGCAACAGAAACTGTGATATCTACATTAATAAATTATTCAATATACAGATTTCTTGGTTTCTGGATCTATTTAAACTTAAAAACTAAAAATTAATCTTTTTTAATAATGAATAATAAACTTATTTGAAGACTTACGTTTTCACGAATTTCAACATTATAAGTGGAATACTGCATTCTGTTTATTAAATTTCTTGTTGCATTTGCCTAAAGTACAAGTAATGAAAATCAAATTGAATCGTTGCTTTTAACTGAAAACTTAATTTTTTAACGCAACAAATAAAATTAATTTTTTTTATATGTCAAATATTTCTTTAAAAAAAATCCAAACAGCTGTTTTTCAAGAACACGCATTCAGTACCTTTGCGCTAACTGTCTCGCACATATAATTAATAAGGAAGAGTTTCGCAATATTTTGAATAATCCAAAATGCAATTATGATAATGTACAGTATTCTATTACATCTGATATAATTGTTTATCAGAATCACGCTGAATATTTCACGCAAGTCGAGCGTTAACCAAAAAAAAATGCATCCCATTTTGATAGTCATCTGTATTCCAAATATCGAATTTATTTCATAAGATATCCTACGTAACTCCAAATGAAGATGCCTGTATACAAACGCAATATTAAATTTTACTGTGCAATATAATTACGATTGATAAAATTTACATAGGCTCTTTTACATTAAAATCCATGTCATCCATTCTTTGTTTGGAGTTTTTGGAAATGTATGTTGGTACGAAAGTAACACGGGATTTTCCTGAGTTTGTTTAACGTCGTATTTGTTATCTTTCGATATATTGACGAGATATCCGTTGACTTGATCAAATTTTAACCCTACGTACCTGAAATGTCATAAAAAAAAAATGATGAATAATGATATTATCAGAGCAGATAGATGCAGTGTTTTTATATCGTTTATATTGGAATTTTGAAAAATTCTGAATAGAAAAGTATTTTTATGACAATATGTAATTGCATGAATTATACGCATAATTCTCCTAAAATTATTTGTGTATATGTGTAAAGAGAAGTGTACTAACCCAAGAAGACTTGCAATAATCAAATCGTCGATTATGTTAATATAAGTGAAATAATTTCTCATAAAGTGAATATATAGAGTTGTTAAAATGCTAAAATTAAATGCAATATTCATCCACAGTGCCATTCCCCAGGTAATGAGGATGACTGTTATGAACCATCCTAAGATGAGCAACATTGATTTCTTATGTAGCTTGTGGTAATCTGTCGTTATTCCAATTTTCAGTAGTGTGTCGTCAACAATATCGAGTTTTTTCAAACAATTTCTACATTTCTATCAGAAAGAAACAATATTTAAAAAGTGAATAAATTAATGCTACGTCAAAAATTTGACGATCATACTTATATATCCATATAATGTATAACTTAAAAATTTATATTATATTTATCGCATTACGTAGAATATTTCGTGTTTTTATGGCAATTCGTTTAACTTTATTTTACAAATATATATATATATATATATATATATATATATAATTATTATAAATTAAAACTTCTATAAAATTATTTAAAAAATGTGAAAGTTATCAAAATGTAAAATAAAAATAATATATAATTATATGTATATAATATGAATATGTCAATATATTTTCTTACCTTATTATAGTACGTTCCAAACACAATTGTCAATAATGTTATGAATATATCTATCCAAAAACTAATAAGAAATTCGGTAGAATAATGTATATCATCATTTATATGAGATATTATTTTAGTTTCGAAGATGATGTAATAAATTAACCAAAAGGACAGCATATACGAAATACCGAACCACGATCTTAAATGAGCTATAGAAAGTTCGATAATCCATAATCTTAAACCTAACACATAACTGATTATTAACAGCGGCGATAAGACTTCTCGAATGCTCTTCATTATAGTGCCGTCTCGATTGCGAATTGCACTTTCTTTGCTATTAAGCTGAAACATATAATGATAATGGATCTTCGTAATTTCAATTACAACATTTATACATAATGAAATAATCGATATATTGAATTTTACGCACCTTGAGGTATAGAAAAGAGGCTAGTTGAATATATCGGGTGACATGAAGCAAATATTCGATATTTTATAACACAAACATCGATGTTGCTTTTGATGCTTTCATCTTTTTCATTACTTTTAGGATCATACATTGTTATTACGCGTGATTAAAATATACCATCAAGTAGAAAATGTAATAATACAAATGGAATAATTTTAATTAATATTAATTGATAATATAATAGGAAAATAAATGCAAGAAAGAGGCAGATACTTTAAAAAGTAGTCTTTACATGTTTTTTTAACATATAATGGCAAAAATATTTTTTAATTAAATTTGATATATAAAATTATTTTTACGAGTATATACTAAAAATAATTTTTATAGAAAAAATATAGAGATGAGAAAGAGAGACAATAGAGATAAGAATAAATTTTTTTAAATTTAAAATAATTTCTGTAAAAATGATAAACATTAATTTTAAGCATTAATATTTATATGAAACGAAAAAATGTAAAAATACTTTTGAAAAAAATCAGGTTATATGGTTTGAACAATTTTACATGTCTACATTTGTTTAAAAATTATTTACTTGTTATATTAGACATGACTTTTGCAATTGCTTACATATTTGTATAATTTTGTGCTAATATAATTAAAACGGTCACAATATATTGGAAGAACTAAAATAAAATAATCTTGTATTTTATATAGTTATTGCGAATAAGCGTTTAAATAATAAATATTTACATGTAATTATTACCTTGTATAGAAACTTGTAGCCAAATTGAAAAAGTCCAATTCCGTAGAATCTAATTGGTGCTTGAGCTATTTGCAATAGAAACTGCGATATCTATGTCAATTTATTGAATGTATTAATATATATAAATTTTATATACCTATATATACATATATTTATACTTTCGTTTTTAATTTAATTTAATTTAAATCATATTCTGTTTTATTAATATTCAGTAAATATATATTTTAAAACTTACATTTTCACGGATTTCAACATCACAAATGGAATATGATATTCTATTTATTAAATCTCCTGTTGCATTTGCCTAAAATTGATATATTAAAATTAAAATTTATTTTATAATCTAGTAAAATTTTAACTAATATTATATAACATTTAAATATGTATTAAAATTAAAATTTTGAATTTGAATACACTTGTGTCAGTACCTTGAAGTTGATACTTTCACACATGACATTAAGAAGAAGAAGTTTGAAGAAGAAAATGGAAAACCAAGAGAAATTTAATAAAATATGTTGCATTCTGCTAGTTGAATAATTGTTGTCGAATATTGTGCGGAATATTTCACGAAGAATTTGCGCTAACCAACAACAGTAACCTCCTGTAGACATTGTTATTCCCATTCCGAATATTGCGTCTATCTCATGACATATTTTACGCAACTCTAAATGAAGCTGTCTATGTGTTAATATTAAATTTTATTATTAAATCTACAAGAGAGATTGCAATATTTTAATGGAATTTGTACGTATACTATGTATAAATTCTCTTACATTATAATCCATATCACCCATTCGCTATTTCGAGTCTTTCGAAATTTGCATTTGTGTGAAAGCGATATGGAATTTTCCCAAGCTCTCTTTGTTGCAAGTTTGTTACTTTTTGTAAAATCCAGAAGATTTTGGTTAATTTGATCAAACTTTAATCTTACGTATCTAAATATAGGAGAAACTATAATGTATATTGGTATATGTATATATATATATATATATATACTTAAAAACTATATTATTAGCAATTATATGCACACGTAAAATATAAAATTATTAACAAATTTAAAGTGAGATTAATAGCTTTAAACTATATAAAATAACTTATTTCCATTAATTTAGAATTTTTTTTATATTGTAATATAAAAGATAATAATATAAAAGATGGACTAACCCAAGGATATTGATGAAAATCAAAATGCTGATAAAATTAATATGGCTGGAGTAATTTATCATAAAACTTGTATAAATGCCTTTTGCAGTGTTAAAATTCAACTCCTTTTTTAAACATATAGTTTCCAAAAGGGTCAGGTACGTGATTATCATAGACCAGCCTAAGACGAGCCATAATATTCTCATATGCAGTTTATTATAATCTGTTGTTGTTCCGATTTTTTTCAATGTATCATCCACAATAGTAAATTTTTTTAGACATTTTTTAAATTTCTGTTAGAAGGAGTAATTTATAATCGAGAAATAATTAATTATTCGAACATTTTAGTTGCCTTATGTCTAATGTAATTATTTTATTTTATATTATATGATATAAAAAATATAAAAAGAAATAGAGAGAGATATGATAAAATATAAATGTTATTCTTTCATACTAAAAAATACTTTGCTAAATATGTCGAAAAAGAAAATTTTCCTAATAATATTGCACATTAATAATTTACAGTATATTTTATATTGTTAATATTGATAATTTTTTACGAATAAATAAATAAAGTAAAGAAATATATTATAAATTAAATACAATTATTATATTTGGATATTGAAACGCTAAATTGTTTTTAAATAGAATTAAAATCGCTAAGCATGTCTGCGTTAAGATTTTCTTACCTTATCGTGATATATTCCGAAAGCAATTAATATTAATACTATAAAAAAATCTAGGTAAAGACAAATATAATACGTCGTACTATAAATGTGAGATTCTATCGTATAACTGAAGAGGAAATAGTAAATCGACCACAATAACAACATGTATATGAAACTGAACGATTTTGAATGATTTATAGGAAATTCGATAGTTCTTAAACCACACACAAAACTGATTATAAGAAGTGGTGTTAAAACAATTCGAATGTTGCTGGTCATTGCGCACACTGTTGCAAACTGCATTTCTTTTGTCCTAACCAGATATGCTTGTGACGATAGTGACGATAGTGCATCTTCGTAATTCTGTTAAGTCACTCATAGATATTGAAATAATCAATCTTCTACTATTACAACAACATACTACTGCGAATTCTCGAAATAAAAATGATGATAAATATCACATTCTTCTAATTTTAATCTAAATATTAATGTTGTATTTCTCTCTTATTAACATCTCTGTTTTTATTTCTTAATTCGAGATTTATTTGTACATAGTATTTTATGTATCTTAATTATTGCATGTATCTAAAAATATTATCGAAGGATAAAATATCGATTTAATAAAAACATCGATTTTAAATATTGAAAATTAATTTTAAATGTTAATTAAAAATGATATTAATTAAAATTGATTTTATTAAATATTAATTAAAAATATAATGATAAAGTAATATAAATAACAGAAATGTTTATAAAATATTTTTGATTACAGTATGCAAAAATTGTATTTTTTAATAAGATTTGTAGAAAAATTTATGATTAAATATATAGAAAATAATTTTATTGAAGAAGCTAAAAGAGGATGTGTATATATCTGTGTGTAGTTCATCTTCTGCCACATAATATTTTCTTGCAACATTTTTGTAAATATACATTTTGAATTCCAAAATATATAGTTTTGTTCAAGAGAAATTATTTTATATATTGCAATCAGAATATTATATTGGTCTCTCAATGCTTCCTCATATTTCTTATACAATGTATTATTACAATGTATTTATTATCAATTTTTTTAAAACGTTTGTTTAGTTATGTATGTCTGCATTAGTAAAACTACAACAGTCGTGATCGATGAGCTGAACTGAAAGATATTGATTCTTATTTTTAGATATTTATTGCGCATATTTAATTATTCATAATATAAATAATAATATGACATTTTATACAACGTACCCCATAAAGAAATTTGTAGCCAAATTGGAAAAGTCCAATTCCGTAGAATTTGACTGGCGCTTGAGTTAATTGCAATAGAAACAGTGATATCTATATTAATATAATATAATGCTCAATGTACATACTTACAATTTTTTATTCTTGCTCAAAATTAATCATGTTTTATTTTAATAATCTTAAATATTAATATTAAGACTTACATTTTCACGAACATTAGCATCACATGTAGAGTGAGCCATTTTCTTCATTAAATTTCCTGCTGCATTCGCCTGAAATTGGAACTTGCAAAATAAAATTTATGTCAATTTTTAAATTTTATTAGAAAAGTTATATATAATTATTATTTAATAGTTAGCTGTTGAAATAAAATTCAGATAAATATACATTTTAAATTGATTGTAAAAATAATACCTTGGTGCTGACTGTTTCGCATATGTGATTAATATAGAAGAGTTTCAAAACGTTATGACAAACTAAGATTAATATTATAATAGTGTACAGTGTTTCATTATATGCGATATAATTATTGAGAAGTAATACGCTAAAAAGTTCACGTAAGTCGAGCGCTAACCAACAAAAATTACATCCCATTTTAAAAGTCATCTGTGTTCCAAATATCGAATCAATTTCACAAGATATTTTACGTAACTCCGAATGAAGATGTCTGTGTAAAATATTGTATATTCAAAAAATTTACTGTTCAAAATAACTATATACGATTGATAGAATTTACATAAACTGTCTTACATTATAATCCATGTCATCCATTCATTGTTTGAAGATTGTGGAGATCTATGTTGGAGCATGGAAATTTCGCAAATTAGTTTTATTTCACGTTGGTTGTTTTTTGTTAAATTTAAAAGATGTTGGTTAACTTCATCAAATTTTAATCCTATGCATCTATATGGATATTATGAAAAATTTTAAAGAAAATTTTTTTATGTATTATGCTATAGTTTTATAAAGTTATATACATAATTATGCTAGAATAAATTTTGTATATTTAAAAAAATGTACCAACCCAAGAATACTTGCAATAAGCAAATCGTCGACCATGTTAATATAAGAGCAATAATTTCGTACAAATATAGCATACATAGCTACATAAGTTTTATAGCCAAGTTCGTCTTTCAGCCAACATGCTATTCCATAGCTTATTAATAAGATCAGTAGAAGCCATCCTAGGGTGAGGCATATTATTATTTGATGTAACTTGTGATAATCTGTCGTTGTTCCGATATTCAGCAATGTATTGTCGATAATATTGAGCTTTTTCAAGCAATTTCTAAATTTCTGTCACAAAGAGGTAATGCGGGTGAACAAATTAATACTTAATTTGATAATTCTACGGATGACGATTTTTACAATTAATAATGTAGCTAATAATTTTAGCTAATAATTCCAGCTATGTAGTATGTTCAAATAAGAATTGAAAGACGTAGATGTAAATTTTATATAATTTCTTATATTATTCAACACGCAATAAATTATTAAATATTTCAAGAGATAAAAATGATCAATAATTTGTGACACATTAATATAATAAGTGGAATATTGTATATCTCTATATGGTAATTTGCATTGCTAAATGAAAAAATAATATTTAAAACTTTTGAGACACAGCTTTAGATATTAAACTTATATATTTTTAATTATATGAAAAATTGCTTATCATTTAAGACAATATTTCTTTATTATACATACCTTATCATGATACACTCCAAATACAATCAATAATAATGTTGTTGAAACGTCTAGTAAAACGCATAAAATATATTCAGTAGTATAATGTTTATTGATTATATAATATGTTATTATATATTTAAATAAAAAATAATAAATTAACCAAAATAGCGGGATATACAATAGACTAAACCATACTCTTGGATGTCCTCTAGGAAATTCAATAATTCTTAAACCAGACGCATAACTAATTATCAAGAGCGGTGATAAAACTGTTCGAATGCTTTCACTCATTGCGCACATTTATTCCGAAATACATTTCATTTCCAACTGACTGGTTGGGGTAACTTTATCGAATAATCATATAGTGTGTACTTTTATAATATAAATTTAATGAAAACACTTTCAAATATTGAAATAATCGATCTGTTGAAGTTTATATTTCGTGGTAAACTTAAATAGAACAGATAATGAATAACATCGCATTTTTATATGAAACATGTAGAAACATATTACATATACATATATACATATGTATGTATATGCAACATAATGTACATAAGTACATATTTATAATGAAAATATAAATATTGTTCTTTACATAAAAGACAATTATATTCTTGCACATTTTATAGAAAATTCAATAATTTCTGTTTTGTCTTGATAGTATATATGTAATTTGTATTACGATATATATTTAAAAATTATTACTTAATAAAAGATAAACGGATTAAAATATCTATTTTAATTAATATTAGATTATAATATATAAAATAATGTTTGAACTAGTACAAGTACGTGTATATATACATAAAATCATAAATTATTACTTAACAGAAATTGTTTTATATATTACAATTCAAATATTATTTGTTTATTCTTTTTGAAATTATTTATACAATGTATTATTACAATGTATTAATTATTTCTTTAAAATGTTTGTTTGTTTACAACCGCTTGTATTAGTAAAACTACAACGGTCGTAATTGATGAGCTGAACTAGAAAGATATTAATTCTTCTTATTAAATATTGTAATTTATTATAAATTAATTGTTTATAGTAAATAATTAGGTAATTATTTTATATAACATACCCCATAAAGAAATTTATAACCAAATTGAAACAGTCCAATTCCGTAAAATCTGACTGGCGCTTGAGTTATTTGCAATAGAAACACTGATATCTATATTAATATAAATTGCTCAATGTACATATTTACAATTTTGTATTTTCTTTTCAACAAAATATGGTTTATTTTGAAAATTCTGAATAATTAATATTAAGACTTACATTTTCACGAACTTTAATATCACAAGTAGAATAAGACATTTTCTTCATTAAATTTCCTGTTGTATTTGCCTGAAATTAAAATATGCAAAATAATATTTAAATGCAATTCTTTAAATTTAATCAGATAACTTATATATAATTATTTTTAATAGTTAGATAAAAGTGTGAAAAATCCAGATAAATGCATTTGGAATTGTAATGCAAAATTAACCTTGATGCCGACTACTTCGCATATGTAATTAATGAAGAACAGTTTCCAAACGTTTTGAAGAAGCCAGAGTATTAGTATTATAGCAGCATATAATTTTTTACTAGATGCGAAATAATAATTGTTGAGGAATATTACAGCGAATAATCCACGCAAGTCGAGCGCAAACCAACAAAAATTACATCCCATTTTACAAG